GTAGCTGGGTGTCATTTCCTGCAAGAAGATCAGATTATATGATTTCATGGGCCTTAAACTCCATGGATATGTCTATATTGCAAGCAAAGGTGTGATATAAGATGAAAGCTTTAATCTCTCCAACACAGGTAACCATAGTGAAGACACAGAACCACAGGCAGGGCAGCAACCTGAGTATGAACCCACTGGGGACAGTGGGCATATACAAAGGCTCCTTGGTGACACCCATGCCACTATATTGCTATTGTTGCCTGAAGTAGCTGGACTGAAGCCAGCAAGGGTTTGTCTACCCCTGTTTAAATCCTACTGTCAATTCCAGTGTGAATATACCCTATGCCATTCTAGACTGGCCTAACTCATCTTTAGATGATGAGGACATCTTAAGCAGCCATTGGGCAACACCACTGCTTTGGCAGAGTTGTTAAGCCAGATCAATAAAGCCCACTGGCTAATTCTGAGGCCTGAAGAGCTGAGGGTGGTTTCTGCATATAAGAAATAAGAAGAGAATTATCCTCTTTGTAACCAGGAGGACTGCTGCCAACTTTGGCCAAGAAATTAAAACCTGACTCAGGAGGAGGCACAGCAATGCAGGCACCACATGGCAGGCAAGTAGGCAATGATCTAGATGCAGCTACAGCACACCCCCTCACTCCTCTGCTCAGACCCTGTCTGCAACACACTGCACACAGTCCCAAGAGGATGGGAAATATGGACACTATGTGAGGCAATGCTGGGCTAATGACACAAGAGCTACTGAAGCACCGGGGAGTAGTGCAGCCAGCTAAAGATTTGGAAGGGAAATGCTAAAGAGACAGTGCAGACTAATGTAATCTAATCTACCGGCTGCCTCAAACAGGTACTTCCCTTTGCCACAGCCTTCCTCAGGGCTCTTTTCCCTGTACCTACTGAATATATTTGCTACATTAGTTAGAGCAGGCCAGGCAATGAGTTGAAGTTTCCCAGAATGCTGCCCTGCCCTCCCTAGTCAAGATCCTGCTGAGTTTCATGGTTCTGCCTCCTTGCCAGACAGGACAGTGAGTGAGGGACTATTATGGCAAGAGAAAAGTATGTGTACTACTTTGTTATCATGGGGTTTCCAGGAAGAACTTTATTGATTATGCAAAGTAGATTTTCAATCATTTTTAAAAGAACTGTATGATGGGTATGCCCAAGGGACATCAGGGCCTCCTTGTGCTAGGTGCTGTATGTGTGTATAGTGAAAGACTGTCTCTTTCCCAAAAATCTTGCAGCCTAGATGGACAACATGATATAGGAGTGGGATGTAGGGAAGATTTATTAATGGGTTCAGACTTCTTAATGCCCCACATATGAGGCAGCACCCCAGCTGGTGGCTTAGCCACAAAGCCCATCCTCCCTTTTCTGCCACTTCTCTCCCTTAAGATGCTTCATCTCAGATCTGAATATTCATGATACAGTTTCTGGTTTGTGCTTCATTTAGTAAAAAGGGAGGCAGAAACTCTTTTGATCCAGGCTCAGGCCCAGGAACATGCAGACTCAGGATCTTCTAACTTCCACTTTGTGACCTTCATCAGGTGACTTCCCTTTAGTTTCTCCTCTATTAAACAGGCATAATAACAAGGGCCACAAAGCTAAATTAACAGTTGCAATATGCTTGAAAAGCCTTGGCTCGATGCTGGATAAGAACAAATTATTACCAGTGTAAGAAAAGTCACTGCCAAACAAATGGTAGGAAACCAGGTTAGAAAGGAAAGAAACTGAAGAGAGAAATCTGGATCTTCCCTTACCTTTAATATCCATCTCCTTCCTGCACCACTGGATGAAGTTGGACACATTGTCCCTGGCCAGGAACGTGCCTGGCTGGGCAGACTCATTGCAGGTAACCTCAGATCTGGGCAGCTGGAGCTTGTGAGCCAGGCCTGGGTAATCCTGGTGAAACTCCCTGGCCACCTGGGTGACATTGTTGGCATGAAAGCACAGCACAGTACCGGTCTCCAGCACCTCCAGGAAGGAGCCAACATCAATGTCCAAGCTGTAGAGCTCCTTGAGCCACTCAGCCAGGTCCTCCTTCATGGCATAGAGATACTGCTCACTGGATTTGTAAGGGCGAATGCTGCGGACTGTGGCCCCCTGGACCCCAGACATCTTGCCATGAGAGGGGGCTAGAGGGAGCCACAGAGAAAGGGCACTGGAGATTTCCCTGTGTGACACTTAATAGCCAGACCTTTGATATGATTCCTGACTTACCCAAATATGGTTAACTTCCACCTTGCTGTCTCCAGGGCTGCTTCTCATAAGCCTACCCCTGCTCCCTGCATCTCCATCGCTCTCCCAATGTGAAAAGAACACTCCAGAATTATGTTCAGACAGCTGCAATATTTTTCCTTGTTCCTGTTCTTACAGGATCACAGGCGACAGCAGCAGCAAAGCTTCTCTCAGTCTCTTACTCATTGCGATCAAAGCCACAAAGCAAATTCCTCTAGGCAGACAAGTTCCTCCATCCATCCCACATGCAGCCGGCCACTCTGCTCCTCTGAGCCCAGATCCCTGAGGGTGTCTTGTTTCCTCTGATAGATGGTGCTGTCCTTACTCCAGACACAGCGTACTTCCTGCCCCAGACCCCTGGGTCCTGCCTGCAGTGGGTCCACTTTGCTCCAGGACACGCACTCCTTTCCTGGGAGCTGAGCTCTCCCCCCACACAACACCCTGCCTCTTGCTTTAACAAGGAGTTGGGGACTTCTTTCACTCTACTAAGAGCTGCCACTGCTTCCTCACCCCCAGCCCCAGGGAGGTTTCAGCAGCCCCTCTCTTTCCCCACTCCCCAGGCGTGGTTGCTGGAGCCCGCTATGATTCAAAAGGGAAATCACCCCTCCTGGAGAGCCTAGTGTTTTGTTTCCTTCCCTAAGTGCTGTTCCCTTCTCCTTGGTGACAGAGACTTGCTACAAACACTCCCCATTAACTCTTTGGACTGCTGGTCTGCCAAAACAAATGCTCTTTGCTCCTTTTTTTTTTTTTTTTTTAG